CAAAAACAGGGAAAAACACCATGACACCCCCGAGAGCGCTAAACCTTCTTTATTCTACAAACCTCCTTTCCATAACTCAGACCCCCATACTCCCAACTTAAAACGTACTGTGCAAATACAGAAAATGCTTAAGCGATTAGACTATTGGTTGGATGTTTGCTGGGTGAGAGACCATGGCAGTGGAAGCCCGAGGCATGACAGACTCCAAAAGGGTAAGAGTACTAGCCGCCTGAGACGCGCATAATGCTTAGCCATGTCGCTACTTTCCCCCCCCCAAATACTGGGCGATCTCCTCTGGATAACAACCCAAGATGCTGAGGGTGTTGGAAAGCCCGACCCTGAAACTATGGGGCGTTTCCCCATTACAAAGTTTCGCCTCAGAGAGATACACACACAAATGATTATTAACTGCCGAACCAAGAAACCGCCTCTCCACAACACATTTCCCATGGTCGGAAGCTTGGAAAAAATATCTCTCGGACAAGGAGACCCCCAGTGCTCTGCAGGCACGAACATAATAATCCAACCAAAAAACGAGGCAAACATCTAAGTCTCGAAAGGGGACAAGAACAAACTCACAGGGAGATCCCTTGTGAACTGTTTTCATAAGAGACAATCTAATTAAAAAGCCTTCCCAATCCCTTAACCTGGAAACCTGGTTGCAAGAGAGCCGCCCTAAATGCGATGCTCTGTCCCCAGTGAAAAAATCCACAAGAAGGTGGCATCCCTAACAAGGATATATTTAATAACAAGGGAAAGCGACGCACTTGCCGCTATTTTCACCCTAAAGTGACGAATGAGTGACTTGAATTTCGTAAAGAAAAGACGGACTGCCTGTTTAGGAGAGACCGCCAAACTCGCTTGCTCTTCCCTGGTGAATTTTAAGTATTCCTTTACCAGCAAGTGAGAAACAGGGTTTGCATGATTGAAACGGCCTAACTTATTATAAATAGCACGCAACTTTCCGATGAGGGAGTCCACGCAACCGGCCACTAAATAGTGGGGGCATTTACAGACTTTCCTGTCACATGTCCTAACGTGAACAACGGTTTTCCCTGTCCTATCTTTACTAAGAAGAAATTTAACGATATCCTTGGAGGTGGCGGAGAGCATGGCCTTTGGGGGTGAAAGAGAGGCGAGGAAACTTGACAACTGTCGCTCCAAGGAAGACTTTTGCTTCTGGTAAGGTTTGCTACTTGACAAAGATTTAAAGTTCACGAAATGGCTATCGATCGCTGACATGTCCAGACCAGGTTGGACAACTGAAGTAACAGGGGCTCCTGTTGATGTAACGTACACCGCCAGGCTGCTTTCCAAGGGCATGCAACCTGAAGAAAAGAATTGTATGTGGGTAATATGCTTGTCTTAACAAAATTGGTGATGCCATCAGTTAACAGACTCAAAGAAAAGCCCAAAGGTCCCATATTAGCGGTCTTGGGAACCAGCCCGGAGTTGCAGCAGAAGAAAAAAATAAAATCAAATGAATGCCAACGCGAGAGAGCGTCAGCTGGGTTCCCAGCCAAAGGTACGTATTGAATGTTGATTAAAAAGTTGAATTCTTGGCTGCATTGCAAAATAGCCTTAATCACGTCATTTATCTTGGAGTTATTTCCAGCCTTGCTCTGCCATGACCCCAACAGAGCTCTGCTATCCGTGTGAACATCAATGCCGGAATTCCGAATCCTTGTCTTGAAAGCATCTAAAGCACACAACAAGGCCTTCGCCTCCAAAACATTTATGCTGTGAGATTCTTCTCGCCAGTAATCTCGAGCCTCCATTCTGCCGTTATCCGTCATCAAAATGCCTCCCCAGGCTCATTTAGAAGCGT